GGCTGAACATACAACCCAGAAACCCCATATCTGTGCTCAAAGCACAAGAAAAGAGGAGATAGAGGACCAGATCTCACTACCACCACCTAGTAGAGGATGTGGTGTGTAATGTCCCCAAGGCCAGTGTCAAGAGGAAGAGAGATAGAAGTGAGCTTGGTACAGGATCAAGGGCATCCTTGCCAGGTTAGCAATACTATTATTGGTGTCACTGGGGGCCAGCTCCAATAACCTCAGAGTTACTGTGTGTGCATTCATTAGACTGCTGTTTCTTGGGCAGAGTCAGGATGTCAAACATTTTCCAAGTGAAACCACAAAGAACAATGGGTCGGAGAGTGTTTTACACAAATTTCACTCTGGCTTCGAAATTCTGGTAGAGGAAATTGATGTATTTAGTGAAACTACTTTTCATAGCACCTTAAAAATAAAAATCTCTGCCATTCTTGAAGGTCACTTTCTAGACCCCATCAAAGTCAAGATGGTCAGAAAGGCAAGAAAGAAAAAGAATTACCCACACAGAGAAATGGCACTAGGGATTTACTTAGAATTCACAGTACTGCTTCCTCTAGTACTTGTGCATTGTGAGAGACAATAACTTCCCAAGTATTTATGCATTTGAATAAAGCTACCACAGCAGGCATGACCTGACACACCACCTAGATGTACGAAGCCTCTCTCTGGAAAGGTAAGAAAAGTATTAGAAGCCAAGTCAAGGTTAGAACCCAGATCTTCTGATTTCCAAACCAACCATACCAAAATAAAGGTTATAGAAGAGAAGACAAGAAGATGGTTTATTCTGGTCTTTGGTAGCCAGGGTTAAAGAAAAGGCTGTTGTTTCTAAGAAAAACCCAAAGTGAGCCCAATCAATGGAGACTGTGTTTGGCAAAGAAGCAGGGACCATTACCTTTTAATACCAGCGGTTCTTTGCCTTCTCTCTTCAGTGACTCGAGGACTATATGAAGAGGCTGGGAGGGCATCACTCGACTCGGCTCATTGGTATTCTCATCATAAACTATAATTTCTTTGGAAAAGATCCTCTTGAAGGAGTCTTTGCCTTCTCTACAGGAAATCAAGTCTAGGACAGTGATCTTGCCCTGCTGTAATCTCCGCCGGCTGATCTTATCGGCACAGTTAATGTGGACAGCTCCTTGGATGTGACTCTTGTTGTACTCCATGAAGGGCCGGCAGTCAATGATGACCGGGCCCTGGCTGGGCAGGTGACTCTTACTGCATTTGGTCATCTTCTTTGCCAAGTCATTGGGGTATATGATTTTGATGCTGGCTAGCTGCTTGGGGGTCCCTGACACAGGACTGCCCACCCCACCTGATGGACTTAAAGAGCCTGTATTCTCATTGTTGTTGACCATCTGGTTAGCAGGACAGGTGGTAGAGGTTCCAATGGTGGTGGTGGCAGTGCCAGCAGCAATGGCTTGGGTCTGGCCCTGATTGTCCTTGTCGTAGGTTGCCACAGTGCAGCAGCTGGCACTGCTGCATCCACAATTCAGAGAGCGGGCAGAGCCGCTGGATGAGGGCATATACGTCAGATTCGCAGCCTTGAGGGTCACAACTGTAGTGGCGATGACAGGAGGGTAGTTACTACTGCCTGGGGTGGCAGAGTCAAGGTAGCTAGAGTCTAAACAGAGGTTGAGATCCTGAGGTCGGACGGGCCTAGACAATGCCACTACTACCCTGTCGTCTAAAGGAGATGGAGGCATGAGGAGGCTGAAAACTGGCAATTCAAGAAGAACCCAAGAGTCTGTAAAGAAGGGGAGGGGGGAAAAGAAAGAATAAAGTCACATGGCACAAAAGTCAGCAGTCTTACCCCATCCCTAGGAAAGGCCTTTGTTTAGCTCTGTACAAAGTCATCCTGGGAACCCTTTATTATTCTGCCACCAAAGCTTGAAACTCCTTCAGATGTATGAGATGAGTGCAAACCTAAGCGTCCCATCTATTTGACTTCTAAGTCTGGGGTTACATCTAGAGTTGCTGTTGGAAACATTAATGCAAAAATCAACATGAACCTACATCAAAGTTCATCTTTGGAGAAAGACACAGGCACAATGAGTGAGAAAAATCTGAAGATAGACATGAATGTCCTGTAGATATCTATTCTGGGTCTCCTTATGACAGAAGAATATTGCACTTAGACCCATTTGCCCACTCCTGTATACTTTTCATTTAATTCCTTCACCACAAAGGCAGATATGATCAAGAACACTGGCATGGCTCACAGAAATATACAACTGGGATATATATATATATCAGGGGTAATGTCAACATTTTTCTTCCAAATCAGAATGGAAGTAGCCTCCTAAGTGAATCTCTTTAACTTTGAGCTATTTTTGCTTCTCCTTTCTACTGGGTCCTTAGAAAAACACAACATAGTCATATTAAAACCTTTCATATTTTCTGCTAGCTTCTTACAAATCAATCTGCATTCCTCTTATGGCTGGCTCACAAGGTAATCTTCAAGGAACCAGGTCTGGCCATCCCTACCCTGGCAGTTCATCCCTAAGAGACGCGCTTCCATTCCTGCCTCTAAGGAATGGACTTGGACTCTCCTCCCTTTATCTGATACAAAGCACAGACTTTACATCCTTGGGCTGCATAAAAGATGTTCATCACATATGAAGACCTCCTCCCTTTCAGAGAGAGTATGGCTCCCATAAAGAGGACTCCACTGCCCCCATTCAACAGGACAGGTTAGTTGAGAAGTGCTGCCCACCAGGGCTTGCTCTGGTGAGGGCAAAGGCAGGATTCCTTCTTCTCCATCATTAAGTATGGGCCATTCTACAACATGGCCCTAGCTAGCTTCTCTCTACTAGACGTGCTATAGCAAAGAAATCAAACGTCAGGCAAGAGCCTTCCAGACCTAAAGGAACTTTGGGTCGGGGGAGGGGGGAGAGACTGTCATGTACCATCTATCTACACAGGTGACTGGCACCACTCTCTGACAAGACAGAAGCCACACACGCACACACAGAGGCACCTACCCATCAGATCGACTCGGATTTCTCTCACCCACGTTTGGATGCAACGGAAGGATCCAACCTCTTGCTTCTCTCCCTCCCTCTCTCTTTCCCTTGCGTAGTATTTTTTTTAGAGCGAGTACTATTCCACAAGCTGTAACTGCTCCCCAGCCCGGACTAGGCGGTAAAAGATCTTGCTAGTGTTGTTACCTGGCAGGGTAGGTCGGGATCAGCAGTGCACTTCATCGGAGGGAAGACTGTAACAACCGTGCTCCCAAAGACTCATGCTGGGACCCCCCCTCCCCCGCGCGCCCCGCAAGCCTCCACACAGGGTGCGCGGCTCACACGCACACGCTCAGAGTACCAAGATCTGCATTCCTGCAGCAGTGAGGGTCGGGCGTGCAAAGTGTCCGTGAAACCATTCAGCCTAGCCCAGTAAATCTCCCAGAGAAATCCTCAGCTACCTACCCCCCCTCCTCCCCCCCCCCCGCCTTCCCCCCCCCCACACACACCGCCTTCCTCCCTAGTCTCCCTTCCACCATTAGGCAAGGTCTAGAGAGAAAATGAAGTGTGTAGTGCCTACTCCTGGGGCAGTCAACAAGCCTCTTCCTCGTCACACAGCGTACTAACAAGCCCTGGGCATCCAAAACTGCCGCAAAGCATCCCATCAAACCTTATTTTCCCGTTCTTCCTTAACCCAAGTTGACTGCAGAGAGAGTAAACGCACTGGGCAACCCCAGCCAACAGGAGGAACCTTATAACCTTACCTGCTGTAGCTCTTCCATCAGCATCTCTCTCTCTCTCTCTCTCTCTCTCTCTCTCTCTCTCTCTCTCCCTCTCTCCCTCTCTCCCTCTCCCCTCTCTCTCACTCTTACCCTCTCACCGTTCGTTTCTTCTCTCTCCCTTTTTCCTCTTCTCTTTCCCTCTTCCTCTTTCCCCTCTCTCCTCATTCTCTCTCTCATCTCTCCCTCTCATCTCTCTCTCCCCTCTCTCTCTCTCTCATCTCTCCCTCTCTCTCTCTCTCTCTCTCTCTCACACACACACGCACACACACAAAACACACGCGCGCGCGCGCACCACACTCCTGGGCTCTTAGGAGTAGCCGTGAGGACTTCCACTTACTTCATGAAGAAGTGTAATCTTCCACCCTCCGGAGCTCCGCTTCAGCTTTGAACTCGCCACGTCCAGCCCCCATTCACTTAGCTTCATTGATCTCCAGCAGCAACATAGTTACTTTCTCTTTTGCTACACTGTAAATGTAAGGTTCTGAGGGGGCGGGGCACATGACGACCGACGGCTCTTGAGACCAATAAAAATGCGAAGGAAGAAGACCGCTACCTCACAGAGGCCCGCAGCCAATCAGCGGCTTGGAGGGCGGAGCCGAAGGCGTGGTCTCATCTCTTTAAAGGAGGGTCTATCTGACGCGGCTTTGGGCTCTCACTGTTATAACACGGGCGGTGATGTCATTGGCAACCAATCAAAAACTTAAAAGAGCCAGCCGGAGCCCGCGCGGAGCAGCTGCTCTCTATTTACTTGTAAACCGAGCCAGCAGGATGCACTTAACCCTTTCCGGGGCTGAATTGTCAATGGGCTGCGCTCGCCGGCGGGCTAACTCTGGGTTTTCCTCCTTACTGGAACCTGCTACTCTCCTCCACAACGCCCCGTGGGACTGACTACGCTGTGACTTTTATTTTTCCTTCTTACTCAGGATAGATGATCAAAAGCATTGGGCTAACTTTATAAATACTAGGGACAACCAGAAAATCCCCGTCCCTCCGAATATGCGCCGGGTGACTTGGATGAATCCGAACCCATGGTTCGCGGATCTCGCCGGGTCTCTAGCGCTAGGCCGGACGTGGGAGTGTGCAAGCAAGGGGCGTCACTGATCCTCCGGCCGGCTGTCCCCCGGCCTCTAGGCCCTTCAGCCCAGCTGCGGACCTCCAGCCTCGCTTCGGTCCCCGCGACCCTGCAGCACTCCCCCACCCGCCTCCACCCCCGGCCCCGGTCGGTCGGCGGCGCCGCCTTCGCCCGCAGATGTCGCTGCCCCTCCGGCTTCCCAACAGCTCTCCCGCGCCGCGGGTGCGCGAGGTCCTCCGTGCCCCGGTCACGCCTCCACCATCCCCAGTTGCAACCTCAGACGTCAGGCACCAACGAGACTCCTCCGAGGGCTGCTTGTAGGAGGAGGTGGGGGAAGAGACTTGGGTCGGTGCCCCGAGGCGCGACCTGAGCTGCAGCGCCCGCACCACTGTCCAAGGCTGGGCGCCCGCGAGGCCTTCGGGAACCTGCTACGTCCCCAGCTCCTGGCCCCGGGCCGGGCCTCCGGGATGCCCGCCCGCCATCGCGGGCTCGGCCCCGCGCGCAGTGTCCCAGTGCACCGCCCGCATCCCGCAGCCCACTGGTCCTGCGCTGCTCAGCCGGCGCCCCTCCGTCCCGCAGGGCCACAGGCAAGTCGAGGAACGCCAGCCAGTCCTTTCTGAAACAGCCTCCTCGGGCGGAAGAGAGCCACAGCCCAGGCAAAATAGCCGGATTGAATGGACCTGTAGGAGCACCGGGCGCAGGGCGACCCCTACTCCAGTCCCTCTGCATCTGGCCAGTAGAGGGTTCTCTGGCCACTGCACAAGTCCTAGGAAGAAGTGCAGGAAGTTGGTCAAGCTGCCCAGTGGCTCAAAAGACAAATATAAAGAAAATTACAAAAAAATTAGAATACACAAAGGAGTGGAAAGCCCCAGAAGAACGGTGGAGAGTCAACATGAGAGAATTCCAACATAATAACAATAAAATAAATAGAGCATTTTATACTCCCATAAACTCCCACCTCAGAGAGGAAGGGAAAATATGAAGTAATTACAATGGATTAAATCAGTATTATGGTATGTTTGGCTATTTTTTTTTCTTATCGGATAGGACCAAGGCCTAATAAATACACTAAGTGACAGAGATATCTTCATGTAATTACTTTCAAGTGTAGATCCAAAATCCAAAGGGGCCAAAAGATAGTTGGCCAACTCCTTGCAATTAAACTGTTGAAAGAAATCCTAAGTCTTGTTCTGATGGCTCACACCATTAATCTTTAGCTACCCAGGAGGCTGAGATCTAAAGATCACCGTTTTCACCAGCAGATGCAGGAAAGTTCATGAGACTCTTCAATTAACCACCAAAAAGCTAGAAGTAGAGCTGGAGCTCAGTAGGAAAAGCCCCCACTTTGAGGGGAAAATCTAAGGAACAGATACTAGGCCCTGCGTTCAAGTATCAGGATGGACACAAAGAAAAAAAGTAAGAAATCTCTCAATACATACATATTTACAGCCATATTTGATCACACCTCAGACGCACATAGTGTCTTAAAATTTTGTATAACCTTCTCCATTTCACTCACATACCTTTCACATACATTTGCCCCCTTAATGACAACTAATAATATTCTGGACACAATATTTTGTCCTTACACCTTTAATAATCAAAGCAAGTCATGGCCAGGAAAATCAGGTTCTAGGACACGTCATTATAAATCAGGAAAGAAGTTCTTGGAGGGTTTATTCCACATCTATTTGGAGCTGAAAGTTACAAGCCTTTCCCTATGTACAGAAAATTGTTAGGGGTGGGTTGAACTGTTTTGGGTTTTTCTGTTTTGTTTTGTTTTGTTTTTTCACTCAGGGTTTGAGAGGTTGGATTCCTAGTCTATCCATCTGTACAGCCCGAGTCATCAATATACATTGACTATATCTATCTATGTGTAAGGTATATTAAATAGGTAGGTGAAGAGAACACCACACGCTATTCAGGCAGGAGAAGAAGTTTATTTACCGAACTGCTGCCCCCCAACCATGCATGGTGGAGAAGCATGGCTGAAAAGGAAAGGTGGGGGGGGGGGTCAACCTACTCTTGGGCCAGGACCTCTCTAGGCCAGGGACAGGAAGAGATGTGGCCCGGTGGGGGAAAGGTGTGGCCACACTGGATCTGGATGTGACCTCAGGGTCTAGGACCCTCCTAAGGTCAGATAGGAGGCATGTGACCAGAGGTGGCCCAGGGAGTGACCTAGCAGGAGGGGAAGGTGAATGCTGTCAGGTCTGCCAGTTTCCTAGGTCACAGATATTGGGTGGAAACTTAGCCAAGAGGTAGGGAGGTGTCCCTGTGCAGACCTTACACTATGAATCTATAAAATGATATTACCCCAGTTCAGAAGGAAAAAGGATTATGCAAGTGATGGAGGGAAGGGAGCAGATGGTAGGGAAATGGGGGGAATCTCTGTTGAGAATAAAGACCTTCAGTAAGAAATCATTGTCCTTGCTTCAGGAATGGAGAGCCTATACACTGTGACCTTTACACTAACACCTCAATACCTAAGCCCAGACACAGTAGGAATTTAATGCAATTACAGAAGAGCCCTGCTCTTCTCACAAAGCCCCAGAGGGGAAAGTAGCTGGGAGGAAAAAAAAAGAAAGAAATGTAACTCACTTAACAAGATGATTATTTTATTATAGCTTTATACTCGTGAATTATTATAATTCAGTCGACTAAGCATCTAAGTCATCCAGGCTGAAAAATTGGGAATGATGGCAACATTCTTCATCGTTTACCAGCCCCAAAACATGGAATAAGTACCAGATTGTTAGCATATACAAAGATGTAATTTTTGAATTAAACATCTGTGAGGTGTATATCTTCTACTCAGATTACTGAGTCGTAGAAAGCAAAAATCAGGCAAGAGTTTTTTTGGGTTTTTTTCCAGTCACTATATTTCTTCTTTTGCACCAGAAGAGATGATTTTGTTCCTATTTCTGAGTTGTTAAGTGGACACAGTACCTAACTTGAATTTGTAAAATTCATCAGCCAATAGCTATGAATTTAATCTGTATACAAAGAACCAGCAGAACTTTAATACTCAGAGAGAGAAGGAGAAGCATCTTCATTGTTTGGGGATATTCAAATGTGATTTACCAAGTCCTGGCATTATCCTTACAAATGTCCTGGCATTATTCTGACAAGCACTGTAAGAAAATTTATCTTTCAGTGCAAAATTCTATGTGATAAAGCCAAAAAAGTTAAGGATAGCATAAGCAAGATATAAGATAGCATATGGATAGTGTTTAAAGACATATAGATCCAAGAGTTTTCCTTGCTTTATTTTGTTGAAACAAAAGATTTGAAAATACTTAATACCTTTAAAATGGTATCTTTCTTTCTTTTTTTTTTTCTCTTTTTGTCGGTTGTGGGGCCTGAACTCTGGGCCTGGGTGCTGTCCCTCAGCTCTTTAGCTGAAGGCTAGTGCTCTACCACTTGAGCCTCAGCCCCACTTCTGGCTTTTTCTGCTTATGTGATGCTGAGGAATTGAACCCAGGGCCTCATGCACTCAAGGCAAGCACTCTACCACTGAGCCACCTTCCCAGCCCTAAAAATGGAATATTTTTAAGTAGTGATACAATTATTTGTTTATATTCACTCAACTGGTTAAGTTTTGGCAGATTGTGAGGTCTTCAAACTAATCCAAGTTCAAGGAATATTTGGGGGAAATCTAGAATTAAGACAGAAGAAGGTTTAGTAGAATTTTAGTAATAATAAATCCCAAAATGAAGATAGATGTGAAGGTGAGTGGAAGAATAGAAAAGTGAGGTGGTGAGCAACTGAGGTCAATGAGACCCACCTGGGAAAACATCCCATAGCACCTTCCAGGCCTCAGCCAGGACTCAAGAGGAGGGTTCCCTGAAGGAAGTGGATGGATAATCCAATGTTGTGGTGCATGGGTGGTAGCGCGTGCCTATAAGTCCAGCACTCAGAGGCTAAGACAGGAAGATTACAAATTTGAGGCCAGAGAGAAGGGATGGGTTAGGAGAAATGTCAGACACTTTGTACTCATATACTGTTTCGTAAAATGAGAACTTCTTTGTACAACTACTTAAAGATAATAAAAAAACAAAAAACAAATTTGAGGCCAGTGTAGGCCACAATGTAAGAAGCTCTCAAAAACATAACAATGAAAAAAAGTAGAACTTTCTGAGATAATTGAGTCATTAAGATAGAGCTTGCATGGATGAAGCTGGAAAGTGGATTGCTTCCCCTCTGTTCCTTCTGCCATGTGAGGACTCAACATTCAAACCTTCCACAGTAGAGAAAACAGCCAATGTCTTTGTGTTGGAGTTTTCAGCCTCTGGGAAATATGGGAAATAGATTTCTATTCTTTGTAGATTACCCAGGCTTACATATTTGGTGATGGCATTATGAATGGGCTTAGATGACTACTTTTCAGAAATGGAAACAAGCAGTCATGTGTTTCTATCATTGTCTACAAGTCTGGACACAAGGTGTCTGAAGTTCTTCCCTGGGGATTGAGTGAGGAGAAGCATTTGTGACTCAGTAAAGGGCTCTGGGCCATTGAAGTTTCTATGCCTGCATGTTTCAGTAAGGAGGTCACATACCACATATGGCTATTGTACACTTACAAGATGGCTAGCTTGACATGAAATATGTTGTACACTAGATTTAGAAAACATCATGGAAAAATATAAAATAGCTTCATTATAAGTTCATAAGTTGGATGTTTGTGTTTTCTGTTTACTTAGTATTGGGCTATTATAAAGCTTCCTCTTTTTTTTTTTTTTTGTTTTTGGTGCTGGGGCTTGAACTCAGGGCCTTGAACTTGCTAGGAGGCATGCCCACTACACCTTCAGCCAGCATGGATGCTGAGAGCAGGAAACAACACAGCAGGGCTATTCTGGTAGAACTCTGTGTCTACACCCCTCCCCTTTCCTTCATATTTGATGTATGTATGGAGACATGCAGATATATAGACATGATGGTGTATTCATGAGACTCGAGTGGCTTTTTTTTTTTGAAGGAAGGATTTTGATTATTCTTCCTGTTCTGCTTCATTTTATGGTCTTTGTCAATCATTTGAGCTATAAGGCAGTTTGCAGCCCAGAGAACAGAGCTGACATGGGCAAAACCACGTATAACTTCAGAACTTGGCCCTCACAGTCGTTTTTGAAGTCTGGCCTAGCCTCCACCAGCTATCTAGAGGTAACCGCCTGGACAAGGAATTAATGAACTCCTTGTCTTTGCTTATGTAGGCAGATCCCTTTCCTGAGCAGTTTTTTTTTTCCCTTCTCCACTGAACACCCATTTGTGACCTCACAAATACCTGCTAGCTTTTGTCAAGAGAAGGGTCTGGCACAACTCGTATGTAGACCATCGACAAGCCTATTTATCTTATGGTTATAACTAACTTACTGGCCATGGGTTTGTAGCAACATTCTTCTACATGATGGATGGCCTATTATCATTTAGTATGAATTACCACATAAGAAGGTTTTTTTTATATTTTACTGTTATTATATTTAGCTAAGCCATTATTTTTTATCATCATGAAAATCATCAGAACTATAGTCTTTGAACCCTCTGAATCTAATGGGTTGCCTAAATGTGTCAAGGAAAGCAAACATGTACTTTAAATATTCCCAGACCCCTTCAAATCCTGATTCAGGACTAAGAAAATTAAGTATTCTTAATCCAAAACATTCCAAAATCCAAAGTTCCTTGTAGACCAAGATGATGTCACAGTGGAAAATTCCACATCTGTCCTGATGTGAAAGGTCACAGTCAAAGACGTGGTACACAGTTACCTTCATGCTCTGTGTATAGTATGCATATAAATCATAAATGCACCTTGTATTTGTATTTTTCACAGTTCTGGAGACTGGAAATCCAAGATGCAGATGCCAACATGTTGGAGTTTTGCTGAGGGACCTTTTCCTAGTTGTGGACTGACAACTTCTTACGTCTTTATGTG